AAGCATGGAGAAAAATGAGGGAGGGAAAAAATGTGTCAGATGGTTCTTGTTTCAGGGATGTAACATCCTGTCTCTGTGCGGGCATGTTTTTGTGGAAGTCCTCTTCCACACCTTGCATCATCTCCATTTCTCAAAATTTCCATTTTCTACGTGCTTTGTGGTTTTTGTGGTAGAGGTTTTCCTCCAGTGTCTGGCTCATGTTGACCGTGGGGCTTTGAGGAGCTTGTTGGAAGCTCTGTCAACAGCTATAGCCTGCCAGCTGGTAGGCTTCTCTGATTTTTCCTGGGTCCCAGGTGACGATGTTTGCAGGTCTTGGAGGGCGGGGGGACATTTCCTCCAGAGAAACCCCCCTCCTATGGCCTGAAAGCTCAATGTCTAAGCGGGAGAAGTTGGCCTGGGCTCCCACGCGAGTGTAGACTTTCTCTCAACCCCCAGCTTTCAGGGGCCCTCAGCTATGCCTCCTGCCTGAGTTCACACTGCGCTGACTGAACTGCTGAAGGCTTCACCCAGGTAGGGAAAGGATCTAGCATCACACTGCTCCTTGTTCAAACCTTCTACCAGGTCTTCCAATTTCTGCACCTTCCTGGGGTTCGTTGGCGAGAGTGGTCTCTTTTTTTGATGGCTTCATCGCCACACAGAGGTGTCGCTTTTTCTGGCTTACTAAGTCAGTTATCGCTACTCCTTACATTCCTGGCCTCTAGCATTTTGTTGGCCTCTCTTATTTACTGCTACTTCCTCTCCCATTCTTGTGAGTTTTTATCTTTTATTACTCTATGTAAGTAGGGTTTCGGGGGGAAGTGGAAGTCAATGCCTGTGCTCAGTGTGACATATTTAACTGGAACCTTGCCCCTTTTGTTTAAAACTCTGCAGTGGGGCTTTCCGCCTCATGTCTCTTGAGATTGCTTGTAAATCACCAATAAATTGACCTCACTTTACAATCCCCCCCAAACCTCTCCATAGATCATCATGTCTTCACATGGCTTTCCTGATCCATACTCAATTTTTCTCCTCCCTCTGGATACTCTTTCTCCTCAACTGGAAACGGTCGCATGCCCCACAGCCCATCCTGGAAATTCTTCTCTCTGGAATCCTCCCTAGCTGATTTCATCCAACCTTATGTTTTCAAACATCACCTGAAAACAGATGACTCACAAATTCCTCTAGCCTTGTATCCTCTTCAGAACCCCTGCCTATTCAAAGTACTCACTTGAATATCTAATAGGAATCTTTGTCTTAACATATCCCCAAATCTAAGTTGAACTTTCCCCCCAAAACTTCCCTACTTTAGAAAGTGACACCACCACATGCCCTGTTGTCCACGCTGAAAACCTTGGAGTGTTCTGTATTCAGTTTATTGAACAAGCTGGAATTGATAGGGTGCAAGTAGAGAGAAACATGACTGTCCCTACAAACTCTTTATCTGTGGATTCTCAGATGGATTTTACAGTTTCCCCCCTTTCTTTCTTAGATATTAAAAAAAGATTATTATTTTGCTCATAAAAAGTCCAGTGCA